AGTGTACTACTTAGGGCAATGGTTTATCAGAAGGGAAAGATCTAGTTCCCTGCCATTTAAGAACATGAAGCTATTTAAGGAGGAGATTTACTCTATCAGAACGGTTCATAACAGTTATTGGTTTTGTCTCACAGAAATTGTCTTAATACCACGGAAGCTCAGAGTAATTTAAGCGGGGGAGAGAACCGTGTGCAAGTCCTGAAGACAGTGCCGGTTAACCTTTCCTTGAACCAAGATCCTTTGGAGTCGTCCAAAAGGGAGTACAACACGCTATTTAAGGAGGAGATTTACTCTATCAGAACGGTTCATAACAGTTATTGGTTTTGTCTCACAGAAATTGTCTTAATACCACGGAAGCTCAGAGTAATTTAAGCGGGGGAGAGAACCGTGTGCAAGTCCTGAAGACAGTGCCGGTTAACCTTTCCTTGAACCAAGATCCTTTGGAGTCGTCCAAAAGGGAGTACAACACAAATGTGTCTGGGAGCTCAACGCCCATCACGGGGACTGGAGTGACTGTGGTTAAAGCAGAGGAGTTCACCCCTGTTTTTATGACCCCGCAAGCACACTATGCAAGAGGAGAAAATGAGGAGCACCGCGGGGTTATCTTTGAACCATACGAAGTGTCCAACATTGCTCCCCACACAAATTATCTCAAAGACGACCAGCGCAGTACTCCTGACAGCACGTACAGCGACACCTTCAAAGATGGAGGAACAGAAGTAAGTTTTTCACCTCAAATTAGCATTAAGAACTCAATAAAAAGCTGTAAACAAGATAAGGAGCTTTGAGCTGACCACAAGAGCCATTAGAACAGTGATGCTTGTTTCAACAAATTCATCTCTGCTGCTTGCCAGGTTCTTGTTGGTCTGTGCTCTGATTATAGGGGAGCATCATGGGGTGTTTCAGAAGACAGTTTTGAAGTCGCTTATTGGAAACTCTGAGAATAGTAAATACTGATCTTTTCTCTTCTGGGGTACTGTGCCAAGTAGAGGGTAGTTGCCATTCTGAAAGAAGATCTGTTCCCCATTAACAAGATCTGCCTTTGATCTATTCAGACGTGTAACACATAGCAGCCACTTTGTAACTGGGAAATCCTTAATGTTCTGAAAGTGCACTGAGCGATGTCAGCCTCTGCTGCTTGATAAACCCAAGTACTTTATTCAGGAGCTGTCTGTTGCACTAAGCTCTCCTCTGCAACACGGGAAGGTGAGAAAAACAAGTAGAATTTGGTGACTAGGGGGGAATTAAGAAGTGAACAGGCAGGGAAAGATTTAGTGGAATGAGGGGGAGAAGAGAGACAAGTTACAATAGCCTTGTAACTATTTTACACTTTGTGCTGAGGTGAAGTAATTATAAAGTCAGCTTTAATATGGTGGGTGCCCTCTGGCTGCTTTTGCCTGCTGCAGAATAATGCAAACAAGCCAGAAATGTAAAAAGGTAAAAATAATTTAAAGCTGACAGTACCTCTGCAAGTAATTTGAGATATTAGGTAGTTAAACTCTCCTCGGATTTTCTCCTCCAACCCTACGAAATGATAAATGTAACAAAGGTACAAGGCAGGTGATGTTAAGGCTGAGTTACTCTGACTGAACATATAAGAAATTTACTGTGTTTGTTGCATGTATTACAGAAGATTAGGTTGATTCCACACAAGCATTGTAGGTCAGGATGTCTGGAGGTGAAATCCATTTTCAGATATAGAACACAATTAGGTCAACTAACTGAAAAATTATTGAAGAAATCTCCCTTGCCATTGAAAAATCACCAAGATCAAACCTTGGACTAGAAACACTGCTCTGCATTATCAAATCACACCATTTCAGCTATTTTTCATTGTTACTGGTAAATGGCTTATTATGGGAATCTGGTAGTACCGTACCTGTGGCTTCCCCTGGGATGCTGTAGCTGAGTGATCCCGTTAACGCTGGTTTGCTGTGAGACACGGTGCTGAGAGCTGCCCGTGCAGTCAGCCCGTGCTGTGCAAAGTGCTGTCAGGTGTGCCAAGTTGGTTAAGTCGGAGGTAAAAATGGAATTTACATCTGTACGTTGGCCGCGCATCCCAAACTCCGTGTTATGGTGATTTTTGTTGCCATGGTAATATTTTGTGTCCCAAACTTCGTATTATGGTAATTTTGTTACAGTGATAATATTTTTTTTGATATTTTTCTTTTTTTAATGATGGGTTAATAGCAAGGTACAATACTTGTCATCTAGGCATTCTTTGCAGCCTGGGGAGAGAGGCAGTTCAAATCCAATTGCCAAAAGTGGGTGGAATGGTTTAACAGGTACACTCACTCCTCTCCTTCCTCACCTCCCCTGGTAACCGTACAGGGAGACTGAACAACTAAGGCGTACTGGGTCCGTCTGTAGCTGTTAGCTGGGGTGTGTGCCACTGTTAGTGGCCTTCCAGCTCCCAGTGCTCACATGCATGTGGTATGTGAGCAGGAAGAGCTTTCCCACTCAGCACTTAGCCTGTCTCTTTGTTTTTTCTCAACTCCCCAAATCCCATGACGTGCTTCGCCCCTGCGGTGCTCTGGCTGCTTCTCCAGCCGTGTGCTGTTGTGTACGGACAGCTCTATCAAGCAGGGGTGGGGAGAGTAAAAATTCAAAACATACCACAAGAGAAACTTGTGCTAGATGAGTGTTTAAAGTCGGAATACAGTTGTTCTTGCTAGTTTTCCTATTCACTTGGTGAGAATGGCTGGGTTTGGCTGAGTAGATATGCTGATACCTGCCCAGTTTTTAAGATGTTATGAATATGTATTAAGTTGTTTCAAAATGTTTATTGGGTGATTTAGTTCTGTTACACTGAAGGAGTGCTGAGGTTTTATAGTTCCCTGTGGTAGTGGACGCTTTGGTCAGTCACTTGTGTTCTTTGCATACAATTTAAAAAAAAAAAAAAAGAATATGCCTTTCTCATCTCTTTCATATTCTTACATAGCTGTGCATTGTTTATTAATCACTTATAGTATAGACAAAATTTTCAAGGATAGGTAAGTAAATTGAACGGTTTTGACAATGCCAACCTTTAGTCTTCATATAAAATGTGGCTGGAATGCCACGAGGCCATCTTTATTGTAATACCCCTCAGATGTTAGATCTCATAAGGTATTTGGCTTCTCTGTGTTACTGCTCATGGATCCTTGACTTTGATCTTCAGGAAAAATATTCCTAACCGGTACATCATGCCTTTGCACTTTTGTATCTGACCAGATATTTGTTGTGGCACAGTTGTGCATAAGGTAAAATTAAAAACTCTTTTCAAAATTGCCTGACTTGACACTTCTGGAAACAAAACAGCTTATAATTGTTAACTGGTGATCACAAAAGAAATCCTGGAGATTAAATGTAACGATCCGTCAGTGAATCAGAGAAACATCAGCAAAACCATGTTTTGGGCAAAAGGCAAACCAAGAAGAAGCAGCAAGGCTGACACGGCAGAGTGTGAACGGGCTCGTGTGCTCAGGAGGACCGAGTACAAGTCCTTGCTTAGTCTGTGCAACAAGGTTTCAGTTTTTTTCACAATTCCACCTCTTGATGTAATTTTTCTTTTTGATAGACGTGTTTTCGTTTTTTCAAGAGTGACTGTAGGTCTCCTTTCATCTGGTAAAGCGTGCATTACATTCGAACAGAATCTTATAATGAAGGTAAAATATTTTCTCCGCCTGCGTCACCACTCCTGTTCAAAACAGACGGTAGAATGGTCGAAATTTTGGTCAGCATTTCATTGTAGGCCTTAAGGGCAGCTGACCACCCAAATATTTTTAAATAAAGCAAAACAAAACAAAAAGTGAAGTCTCTAGGAAAACTATGGTTTCATTTGAAAATTCATTTGAAATTATCTTTGAGATGATACATTTTTACAGAATTGTTTAGAATATATTAATGTGTAGGCAAGGACTTTAATAAGGCAGAAGATATTTTTCAGCTACATTTCTGCAGGAGTTAGATTATGAAAAACTCTAAAAGTTTGACCTAAATGAAATACCTCTGTCAGTTCTGGTATAAAGACCATGGAAAATCACAGAATGGTTCGGGTTGAAAGGGACCTTAAAGACATCTAGTTCTGACCCTTCTGCTGTGTTCAGGGACACCCTCGTTTTTAGGGAATTTGAGTTTTAAGTGGTTGACGGTTTCTTCTGAGGGGTCCTCACATAATTCTACTCTTGTTGGTATTTACCTTTTGATTTTATTAAGCTATATTTATTATTTTTTATTTTTCAGAAGTATCGCAGTGTGTCCGTGGGGGCTGAAGAATATATTTACGAACAAACAAGGTATGGCATGAGCTTTGGCATGTGTTGACTAGCATCACGTAGGAATGTATAGAGGGTGCCTGTGTCCACTTCCCTCCCTCCCCTTCATCACCCTGGGGCACCTGCAGGACTCCCTTGACGCTGCCCAGCACCACTCTTCCCCTCTCCTGCACATGTTAGTTTTCAAATCTGACGGGTTTGTGTCTTCATCTGCTATCTTCCTTCAGCATTGTTTTAAGTTAATAACCCCTCTGAAGCCCCTTGGGGGATATGTGAGATTAAAACTGTCAAGAGAGGCCCCCCAGGTAACAGGCCACGGCTTTGACATCCAGGTCATGGAAAATCTTCCCCACCTTTCAGGATGGCAGGATGCACAAATCAGATGTCCAGGGTTGTTGAACTGGCTCCACCAACCTTATGGAACTCCTGTCTTTATTTTTCCCTTCTGGTTTTTTTCTAGTTACTCCTAGTGGGTTTTCTGCAAAACCCTCTGCCTTTTTACACTGCTTGCTTAGGTATTCATGTTTACCAATAATACAGTATAAATGAAGTGTCTATTACAAACCTTGTAAAAAAACCCCTAAGAATTAAAAGAAAAAAAAATTTAAAAGTTTTGAAAATTGAAGTTTGACAGGAGTTGTGTCCTCCCTAAGCACAGAAAAATGCATGTGTAGAATGGGCAAACGCTGCAGCGTCACTTTCACTAGTAAAGACTGCGATCAGTAAAGTTCTTAAGCTGATGCTTCATTCCATGCTTGTGAATAGTTATGTTTAGATCTGAGACATTACTCTTGCTTTAGAAACAGGAACATGCCTATGTATTTTTCCTGTCTGGAGTAGGCATATGACTACTTCTGTAGTGGAGGTTCCTTACAACTTGATCTTTCTTCTGAGGGATGTTAAAATCATCATTAACTGCGGTGAGCTCAGAACTGAGTCATTATATAGGCAGCACATATGAAACAGATATTTAGCAAAGACTGCTCACTTACTACACTGGATATTTATAAAATTGAATCCTGAAGCATTGGCATCATTAATAATTCTCAGACATTGTTTTTCATACTGTGGCCCACATCCACGTTAGAATGAAACCTCCAAATGCACACTAAGAAGAATGAAACCTCCAAATGCACACTAAGAAAAATTAAATCGGTCTTTCTTGGGAGTTAACTGGAAGCGATGTGTGCTCAGAAAGGAAAGGTTCAGATTGAAAAAAAGCAGTAGTGAATGTGAAAGTAATTGGAGGCCTAACGGAAGATCCCTTAATGACTACACGGGGCTTTAGTTAAGACTTGCAGTGAGATTCAGAATCGTAGTATATTCATTTGAGAGGCTGCAGTGAGTTTTAAGGGTAATAGTAATCCTCCTGCTATGGGACACACTTTGATTGCCAGCTGTGAACAAGAAGAAAATTCCCAAGAGGCACCACACAGCTACTGCAAAATTGGCCGGGTGCAGTGTGTCTGGGATTTACAATTTTTGACGTCTTTGTGAAGCATACAGAATGCCAAGAAACAGAAGACCAGACCGTGGCAGACTGTAGGCAGCTCTGTTAAGACACGGTGTGCCTGACTTGGGTTCATCCTAAGCCCTCTCAGCACACGCTCTAGTTAGGTCTCCTGCCTGGTTTTGAGGAACATCTCCCAGGGTACGTGGCGTGCTGTGGTATGTGTTGCGCAGCAGTCTTGCAGCACGGCAGTCCCTTTGTGTGATGCTAAACTGGAGGATGTGCCCGCGCTGCTAATGGACCATCAGTCCATGGGACAGGTGTACACAGGGGAGTGGATGCGGGGTCTGCAGCATCAGTCGTTCTGAGCTTCCGGTCCGCTCGGATGGGGCCGTACTGCTTGCCAGCGCTGGCAGAGCCTCTGTTCCCCTTGCACACAGGGCAGCACACTGTGTGCTGCAGAGGGGCAACAGCAGAGGGGACTGCAGTTCCCTCCGTGTTGCCTTTCCGCTGCGCACGCGACCCTTTGCGTTGGCAGCAGCCGCGTTGTTGAGAGGCTCTGGGACTGCCATCGGTGCATTGGATGGGTGTAGATTAGTGTTTGCTTTTTACTTTAGTTTTGCTTTGGTTTATAGCTTTTAAGGAACTGGAAAAATGATTGGATTTCCATTTATAAGCTAGAGTAATAAAAAGAACCTTAGAAATTGTCTTGATGGTAAAGTAAATAATTGATATTAAACTGTCTGAAAGGTTTTCCTTTGAATGGAAAGATAATGGATCAGGTTAATTTTTTTTCCTCTACCTTCTCTTCAATTGGGGATTTAAATGTTACTATTATTCATATATTATAGTGATTTTTTTTTCCATTGCATACTTAAAAATGTTTTTGTCTTCCCCCATATTGCTATGTCAGTGTTACGATGATCCATACTATTTGTTTGAACTAGAAAGTTAAGAATACACTGTTGTTCTGGACCAGCATTTTTGTCCTTTTCATTCTACTCCAGCACTGCTTACATACTTTGCTGAATTAGGACCTTTGTGAAAATGTTTCCTCTGTATCTCCAGTTTGTGAGGACATCCTGCAAGTGACTCCTTGTATTAAGCTTCCTGTGGTGACCAAATGCAGTTTGAAGAGAAGATTTATTTTGCAAAGTTCACATTATTTTTCACTTAAGAGAATGTGAGGAGCTGCAGGCATCGTTTTTATTGGATTACTGTTGAAGCCCGTTATTGGAGGAGGCAGCTGGAAGAGGCTGTGACAGTTCTCTATGAGAACTGTGTTCAGCTAACAGTTCACTAGTTCATGGAACTTTAACTTTTCATGGTTTGACAACTGCATTAAAGGTGGAAAGTTCTCCTGTGATCTTTTCTGCAACAGGACTTCCAACACAGGAGCAAACTCTGGTTTTCTCTTATTTTTCTAAAGGGAGGTTACTTGATTGCAGATACAACTAAATGTAGGTACTTTGTTCTGCCTGATTAATTTTGAAAAGAAGGCTTGTAAAAAAAAAAAAAAAAGAAAAGCCTTGATTGCACCTTGTCTTTAAACAAATGAACCTACTGGCCCTTCTGGTTGTATTCTTTCTCTGCCCTGTGCTGAAAGTAGCAGTGGGACTTTCTATTCTCTGCGTCCATCTTTTGCAATAAGTTTTGTTCTGTGGGTTTTTTTTTCTTTAATTTATCTTTCTCTGACACTTGTAAATTTAAATGCCTGTGGAGGTAGCTGATGTCCTGCAAATCATACTGAGTTCACTCCTGGTACTTGACACTCTCACTGTGGCGTACGTAGTCTTGTACTCCATGATGGTTCTTTTCAGAGAAAGTAAAAGATGTAGTCTTTGGTCCAAGAGACTTACAGTCCAGATAGTTTTACGCTTGATTGCCAGATCTGATGAACTTGAAAAAGACAATTGCATTTTTAAATACCTGTGTGACCTTTTCCTGGAATTTTCTTATTAGCTTCTAATGCCTTGCTTATACAATGCATGAAATACATAATAAATGGGGACAAAGAGAAGAAAAGGAGAAAGTGATATGGATTTTGTTGGTGTTTCTCTCCCTGTCTTTTCAGCAGCACTTTTCAGTATACTCTAGAAGCTACCAAATCCCTGCGTCAGAAGCAAGGGGAGGGGCCCATGACCTACTTGAACAAAGGACAGTTCTACGCCATCACCCTGAGCGAGACGGGTGACAACAAATGTTTCCGACACCCTATCAGCAAAGTCAGGGTATAGTCCAATTTCTTTCCTAGATGGGAATGGAGCTCTGCAGATAAATGTAGTTGTGGTTGGTTGGCTTTTAATTTTGTTCTTTTTCGTTGGAGAGGACAGAGCATGCTGACTCATGCCCAGCGTAAAAGCAGGAGAGTAATATTGATGGCGGTCTCAAATATTTTGGTGTCTATTTTTTTCAAAATGTGGTCTTATGAGTTAATGATATACATATCTGCCTCAGGTTATGATTGTGCAGAATGGTAATTACACAGACATTGCATTTGGCATTGGTGGACTTACCATTGCTGTGATTAAAGAAAAAAATCAGAGAACTGCAACATCTGCTGTGTATGTCCATCTTTACTCACTTGTGCACTTCAGCACCTGCTTTCCAGTGCATTTGAGATAAAATGTGAGGACTTGAAGTCATCCTTTTGGACATAAATTTTAAATCATTTACGTTGTTTAAGTCTGAGCTTTCACCTGATATTCACCCAGAAGTATGACAAAATGGATGGTTTGCACCTTAGATTCCATGCATAGAACTGGAGCTTGGGTATTCAGCAACACCTGCCTGGTGAATGTGTCTCCTGATTTCCCTGGTAATGTTTCTGAGTAAGCAACTCCTAGCCCAATAACTTTGGAATGCACAATGAGCTGCTGCCCTGCAAATTTCACCCTGTAGCTGGAAGGGCTGCATATGAGGCTGCAAAAATGTTTCCATCCAAATAAATGAAGTACTCTAAAAATGTTCTGACTTTAGTCATAGAATCATAGAA